AAGCTTTCAGCAGCAACAATGAGCGGTGGCGTTATGGATGTCAGTGACAATTCAGTGCATTTTAATGACTCTGAAGACAGTGATACAATCTCTGCCACTGAAAATACTGTACAGGAAGCCAGTCACTAGAAGGGATACACATTCACGTGTAAGTATTCGCAATGTCGTGTGCAGTATTTGACAGAAGATAAGTTCATGAACCTAGAAGCTTATTGTCTTTACAAAAGCCCAACATTGAGTTATTTGCCAAATGAAGTTAACATTGATTGGAAACCTCCAGGGCAGCCAGTAGTTTCCCTCATTTGGTATTGTTTTATTTATTTCTATGTGAAAAAAGAAAGATCTTTTTCATCCCGTCACTGTTACTCTCGTCTCTCTGTTTCCCCTCTCTTTGCCTTGTTTGGCCGATTAAACCACAAAAGATATGTAATTTTCAAAGTGCAGACTGACAGATGAAGTGAGTCAGCATTTGGCTGAATCATTATCAAGCATATGAATCGTAATACTGAGAAGAAATTCCACTGAAGCAAGGTCTGTATCAGTGTCTCTGTCTCAGTTTGTTTGTGTTGTTTGCTGCGTATTGTTTAGATTCACTTTGGAGACCTTCGAGGCGTATAAACTACTGAATTGGCTGTCTGGACCTGTAAAAATGAGCAGTACGTCAAGGTTTACATTTAAGACAGCCATTTCCTTTTTAGTATTTAAATACTAATACTAAAACTTATGGATGTATAATTGGAGTTTGATCATTGAAACGTTCCTCGGTTTAGGACTTTTGGTTTATTTTATTGGATTCTGGATTTCTTGACCCTTTTGGATTTATTTGCCTCATTGAATCTCCTTTTCTGGGTTTTGAGCCTTTCCTGCCTCACCACCCCATAAGCTTTGTACTGTATCTGTGAACTGTCAAATCTACAGTCATGTGACCTTTGTCGTCATGGTAACATTGTGAAACATTCACAGTTTGGTTAGGTTTAGGCACAAAAACTTCTTGTTTAGGTTTAGGGAAAGACTATGATGCACGTTCAATATGGTACACAAGTTAACTTTAGTGTGTAAGTCAGTGTTGTACCTAATAATGTTGATACAGTCCCTAAAAACTCACTGTGTTCCTTATAGATATGATCAAATAAAAGCTAATCTACCAGACACTCATTGTTCCTGTACACAGTCACATCTTTAATTTAATCTCCTCTCCCAGCTGCGTGCAGCTTGAAAGAGGAAAATGAAAAACAGAAGGTTTTTAGGTGTCAGTTGTTGTGAAAACTCTCCGATTTGGCTTTCAGCCTCTCTGCGGGTTCCCTTCAGATGTCCCTCTTTATATTTTGCTCATGCCAGGCTGGCATTTGCATCTCAGGCATGAATATGGATCAATCATCGCACGGAGGAAAATCAGCGGAGTGAAAGAATGAGGAGAGGTTTTTAAAAATGCCCCGATGATTGGCTGCCTGTGCACAGAGCTTGTCGGCTGCAATTTTGTTACATGGACTCGGAAATCAGACACTTGCTGACATCAACTGAGGCAGTGTTTGGGCAGCAGGGTGGTGTTACATTATACTCTGTATTCAAAAGGTTTAATCAGACAATCATAGTCAGGACGGTGGCATGTCCAACAGGCAAAATACACACACATAAAACCTGGCAGAGCTCAGCAGCCCGAGTGCCTGGCAACGCGCGCTGTCATTACTCCAATACGATGCCTGTTGCTCAGCTGCCTGTCAAGCTGCATTCCCCTGAACACAATATGTGTGTGTGTGTGTGTGTGTGTGTGTGTGTGTGTGTGGTGTGTGTGTGTTTGTGTGTGTGTATGTGAGACCTCGTCCCACTTATCTCATCCATCAGAGAATTTCACTACTCCGTCTGTCACTCAGCAATCCCTCACTGTCACCCAGACTACAGGGATGGAGCAGCCTTATCATCTATCGTGTTGTTATATATATATGTGTATGTGTGTGTGCGTGAGCATCCGTCTGGCAGCCAGTGACACGTACTGCTGTTGATGTCTCAGTTGGTGTCAGCAGCTCCACTTTTCATCCTAAATGTGTCTGCAGCGGAGGCTGAGAGCCTTTACAAGGCCATCACACTTAGTTCTTTAAACAGTTTAAAAGGCCTCCGCTGGTGACATCATCACATTGCGAAACATCCCTGAACAATGATCCCAATAGCCGGCGAGTGAATGAAGCCTGGTTATAGTGTAACAATACAAAATACTTCAGTTATCTTTAAATAATGTTGCAGCATGGTCATCTCTAAACCTTCATCAGTCTGAGGGTCATTTGTTCCTTCTTTATCATGTGAGGAGTTTCTCCTTTGAGCATCTGAACTTTTATTATGTGATATTTTTTCAGGCGTCTATTCTACCTTCCACCATGTCTGCCTTATGAACATGGTGCCATTACACACGGCCGTCCACTGTGTTTACTTTCATTAAATCACCCGCAGGCTGACACCAGGCTGCTTGAAAATGACCACACACACCTCTACACACATCAGACCGGTCGGTTATAGCTCCGTATTCTGTTGTTTATGTGGGGAGATGTCAGCTCAGTGGGCCTCATTAGTCCCCGTGTGTCATTGCCTCCTTTCCAGCTTTCTTCTTTGGCAACAGTAGCGTTTTCATGTTTTATTCTTGAAATGCATAACAGTGTAAAGGTGTCACATTTTACAGTATGATGTGACAAATTGTAGGAAATACAGTAAAATTAATTATCTATTTCTATCATAATTGTACAAATTATACACAGCACCACATATCTGCCTAGATAGAAAGTGCACTTGAAAATGCCCAACCCCGACCGCTTTGCACTTATTGTTGTGCTTACGCGATTAAAATAGGGCCCTGTAGGTCCTTCATATTTCTCATTGTTCTTTTTTTCGGTGAAATTAACATGTGAAATGAACAATATTATGGAGACAAAACTAAATCCCAACGGTCGCATGGGGGGAATTCTGCTGCTGGTAGATAAGATTCATTAGGAAAAAACACATGAAAAGGGGAAATTAGCACCACACAGACAAGTGGAAGAAACATTAAAGATGATTGAAAACAGAGTCACTACCAGCTTTTAGTCTTGCTGTCGTGCTGCACACAGAAAAAGGAAAAGTGGAGCAACCTCCTATCAAATTAAATGCTAATAACATGCTAAAACTACTAACTTAATATATAATATATAATATAACTCATTATAACCAATTATATTATGTACTGTCACTCAAGTTTCTGAGGGTTTTATAAATACAAGCCCAGAACTACCAAACCAAAACCATGCTATCTAAGACTAATCAGGAGTTCATATTCCAGGCTAACACATTATTGGCTTCTTCCATACAGATGCATTAACTACCATTTTTATTCTAAAACAGTGGGGACAACTGTACATCTGTTTTGTTTTGGTTTTTTTTTCCCCCTTCAAGCAGCTCAAGAATGAACACAATCCCATCTGAGGAGGACAGAGTTCGTTTGTAGAGCACCGCAAAATAAGCCAACACCTTAATAGAGGTTTATCTAACCAGACATGCTAATATTTGTTTCCCATGATTTCCATTTAAATTGACAGGAGTGGTGTGTAAACAGCTGTTTTGTGTGTGTTCCTGAGGGGTATGGGATGGGAATAGAAAAAAAGGAAAAAAAAAAATCAAACACACACAAAACAGCCATCATCTTAATGAAGGCTTACAGCAATATTTGAGCCTGCTAAAGCATTTGCAAATCTCAATACAAGTTAATTAAAAGTGAAACACAGGAGCCGGCGGCACCCGCCACCAGCCTCGACCCAGATTTATATCCGACGAGATGCGCAAGGCATCTTATTTATGTTTCCTAGCCATACCTCGTGCAAGTCACTATATGATGACTTACCCAGGCAGCATTCTGGTGACCGTCTGCTCTCTATTGCCACTAAGTCATCTCACAGTCCTTCAAAATAAAAGCATTTAAGTTGCAGATGTAATGGTTATAGCTGAGAGATGCATGTCAACATTTTTTACATATTGTTAAATTTAGTCTTATAAAGAGCCTCCATGTAATAACCAACAATTATAGTGTTTAGTCATAAATATGTTGATTATATTATTGATTCATCTTTTTATTATTTAGGCTATGAAATTTAAAAAACAAGTGGAAAAACAGTCCAATGTGACATCTTCAAGTTACTGGATTTGTCCGACCAACAGCCCAAAACACAAAGATATTCAGTTGTGTGTAAACAGCTGTTTTGTGTGTGTTCCTGAGAGAAAAAGCAGCAATATTATCTATTATCAAGACAGTTAATCAGCTCATCATTTCTGCTCTGGCTTCAAAACAAGTTGACTGACATTTGCAACAAGTAGAATTCGCCCTGCAGATTTTCTAACAGTCTGCACTCGAATAAAGAGCGCACGACGGACTTAGAATGCGAAGACCTCAGTGTGACCTTTTTAAATAAATACAGCAAATGAGAGCAGAATGGCGGCCCAGACTCACTGACTACAAATGTCTGCGAGCTACAGTGGAGCAAAGGACATTCGGGGAGGCACCTGGAACCTGCGAGCTGCAGTGCAGGGACACCGCTCTGTAACCAGAGTCTGTAGGCTACAGTGCAATGCAACACATTCAGACAGGCAGCCTGTGGAACAAAATATGAACGGACCGACTGCTCGCACAAACACGTCGCTCTCACTTGGGTCCAGAGATTTTCACACCAATCAAACTTTTTGTCAAACAATATTTATTTGCATATATGAGAACAAAATATAACGGACTCAATAACAACGCAAGACATCCATTTGTAACGTTCATGTGTGGTTATTCTGCAAAACACTGAACACGACTCGGTCAAGGTGGCCTGCGCTACATTACATTTTTTGCATCTTGACTAATGCATTCAGAACGTGGAGTCTTTGTCATCTTTGGCACTTTGACCCCGTCAGACCATTTCAACTGAGCATCTCGTCTTAAAACAGGCCCAGCTTGTCCAGATAAGGTGCATGACAGGTGAATCATGGGGGGGGGGGGATGTAGGCTACTGTACAGTATGCCTGTTTAAAAACTAAAACTAAAACTGGAGAATGAGCTTTTAAAACAAACTAATATCATGTGGCTTTAAGTGTTTTACTTTCCACAGTAAAAGCCTGGTTGCAGGAAGAGCAGCATGACACAAGCTTGGTGGCGTAGTTACAACAGGGAATGGGAATTGTGGAGCATTATGGGGCGGTGCTGCCATTTTTGGAGGATAACGTACATAGCTGTTGTTATCTGTCACCGGTCATTTGTCATCTGCCAATCGCTCATCATCAGGAATGTATAAAGTACGCACAAAAGACATATTTCACCAGCATTTGACCGGTGTCTGGTGCTAATTCTGTCATTAGGATGTTACACCGAATTTAACCGTTTGAGACTACCATGCTAGATGGGTGGTGACTGTGTACAGGGCATGGTTGGTATCCTACAAAAATGGCCGCCTTGATGTTGATGATATCACACTCCCACTCCCTGTAGCTCTCCAAGCTCCCTTGTACTGTGCTCTTTCTCTCCATTGTGCATCACTTCATTCAGCTTTCTTTTAAGAGGGAGGCACAACTGACTCCTGTCTCATGAACGTCTGCAAACCACGTCTCTGTTGTGGTGCGCTTTTTGCTCCGACAGAGGAGGTTAAATAAAGTGGACCGTGCTACGATAGCTTCCTCCATTCTGGTCTCTCTGACTTTCCGTCCCCTCAGATGTTTACTAATGGCCGATGGCGCAAATTGGTGCGTCAAAAGTTCATTATGGTTGAACTGAACGGGAAATATGTGTATTTACCCTGTGAGAGAACTGAAATGAATTGACTTTAAATGCTGATGTGACTGGGCCTTGAGTCCAAACACGGCTGGCTGATGCCTACTCACAAAACATCTTATCTGACATTCATTTTACTCCTCGATTTTAATTCTTTCATCATTCGAGCCTCAAATATGACACCATTAATACACAGTGCCTCATAAGAATCTCTAAGCCTGTTAGCAGCCAGTCCTTGAACAAAAGTGTTCCCCCTTAATTCAAATAAACTGAAGAGAAACATCTATGTTCTCAGTTCAGAGTTTTTACGGGGTGTTTGGTCTGGGATCTCTGGCATGCTCTCTGTACCTGGAGCGTCATTTCTGATCCTAAGCAGTAAGATATGTACATACTCTGATGGCAGTAGAGGAGTTGAATGTAAGTTCAATCAAATACTAAAAGGTCTTTGACCAAATAAACAGAATACACAGTTGCAGATAAGCCTGCGCTTAATCCGTCTTCAAAAGAGGAGAAACATATGGGACCATATACTTTAATGGAAACAGTTTTCAGTGATGGTTACTGTCCACGCTGACCCGGCTGCGGCCTCTCTTTAGTCGGGGTATAAGATGAAGCCGGAGAAGGTGCTGTACTTGTTGTTGTTGCCTCCGTGGGCTTTGCCGCCGTCCAGTTTGACATAGATCTCGTCCCCAGAGTCCAAGTGCAGCACGGCGCTGTTGCTGGCGTAGTCGTAGTTCTGGTCTGCATCCTGAGCTATGGCGCTGGCCCGTACCTGGGGGGAGAGGGGGGAAAAAGGGGAGGACAAGACATCCTGTAATATGCATTTGTTTGTAGGAGAATGTAGTAGAGACGGAAACTGAGTAGAGAAGTTCATGTGTGCCTGAGAGGCAGAAGTGGAACAGCAGTGCAGCCTTTAAAAATAGCAATGAAATTACAGGTTAAACCCACTACTAACCATTATACAATAGTACTGAATAATAGTATGAAGTAGAAACGGATAATTTTGCAGCATCCATAATGACTGATGATGCTCAGCCTCATATCTGAGTACTCATCCAGACGGAGCTGGCAAAATAAGAGCTTTTATGCAAAATAAGAGCTTTTACGCATGAGCGTCACCGCCACACGGAGAATACACACATCACCGGATTCGACCAAAAACATCCCTGACGTTACCTTGAAATCATCCCGCACACACAGAGAGAATCTGCGGTTCTGTAACTCCTGTGGAAGGAGGATAACCGATAAAACGTGGAGCGATGTTGTGCGCCTTTCGAGCGTAAAATGGTTTGGTTAATCTGGTGTGGCGCATTAGAAGTATTAAAACCCGCACAACGTTCGTCCCGTTCTTCCTGTTCAGGTCTGATATTACCTGTCCGTTCTTGCACAGGTCGGCCCACATGCTGGTCCCGTCTCCGCCCCGCATCAGCACATGGTAGGTGAAGAAATAGATCCCGGACACATGGCAGGTGAACTTCCCGGTGCTCGGGTCGTAGTGGTTCCCCAAGTTTGTAATCACGTCGTCAAACTTTAACACCTCATATCCCTCGTGTGGATTCTTCAGACCGACGTAAAAAGCGATCCTCAGACTGTTGCTCGTGGAGTTCACGCCGTCCGTTTCGCCGTTCTCAGCCCCCGCAGCTCCGGTTATCGCGGGGAAGGCGAGTTTCCCGTCGCCGCGCTCTCCCGGTGGCCCCCTCGGACCAGGGGGTCCTGGTTCTCCCGGCGGGCCCCTAACTCCCGGTTTACCCGGTCGCCCCGGCTCCCCTCGGCTCCCCTGAGCCATCGGCGGCTGCGGAGCTACCCCGTTCACGTTCTGGATCACCTCCATGGCGGTGGCGCTTCCCGGTTTCGCGGTGTACGGGTCGCAAACCATCCGACAGGTGCCCATCATCTCATAGTAATGAGCGGAGGTCTCAGAGGTGCGCAGCAGCAGTAACGGGACAGCGACGGCCAGAGCCAGCAAAACCATCGCGACGGCGGTCACCACAAAGACCACCGACCACTTCCTCCGCGCGGTTCGGGGACCAATGGACGACAGAAGACCCGTGGAGCCGCTCTGGGGGGGAATTGTGACGGAGGACAGAGGGTCTCTCTGGACGACTAAAAGAAAAGAGATGAAGTTAAAAGAGTGCGCATCCCTCGGTCCGGATCCTCTAATGGATGGCTTCGAGCCCCTGGGCAGCGGCTGTGACCGGGGTGCGGGTGCGCGTCCTGCCTGGATGGAGAGGTGCGCGCGGACAGCTGCAGCCAGCTGTCAAAGTTAGCAAAGATAAGACCGGAAGATAGAGGATTTGGCCTTCAAATTAAAACAGTAGGTTACCGACGTGATGCGCTGACATAGGAAATCTGTAAGGAAAAAAATGAGTGAAGTCATTTAAAATAGGCACATAACCTCCACTGTTCAATGACACTTTGTGTTAGATATGCATATATATCCTGAACTACAGTTCATTTTTAATGAGCATTAAGATCCGATTCTGCACACTGTCTGGGTCAGATTTATTTCTCTAGCTGTTCTACCTTCCAGTCAAATGTCACCAGGTCAGTATAGTACAATTTAGGGCTAATTTGACCTTACTTTAGTATTTCCATTTTGTACTAGCCTACTTTATATTTCTACTGGACAGCTTTTCCTCCACATGTAGCCTATTTGACTTGTTATAATTAGTGGGCCTAGTTTCTGTGCAGATTAAGATTTTATAAAACATACAATCACATATGAAGCTGTTAAAGTGAGCAGGATCCATTCTGCACAGTTCATTCATTCATTCATTCACAAAACAGATCAGGCTTTTATTTTTAAATGTGTAACAGGAAGTGCTCTGTTTCAGTTTGACTGACCTGATGAGAGGATAGGAGCAGGTAGCCTACAGCAGTGCGTAAAGTTTAAGTCTGCGCAATTGTTATTCAATATGGCACTAAATATTTAATATGATTCACTCAATATTTATGTGTAGAAAAATGTCTTAATGTTATACTTGAATGTATCAATCCATGCACACAGTGTTGAAATGTCAAATGATTGCATATTTATTTTCATAAATCTCAATGGTATATAGTTCTTATAGGTGGAATACATTACAGGTCAAAATTAATTAATTCATCTGTTCCCCATATAAACAGATCTATTAATTCTTATAAGATCACAGATTATATATCCAATCCAATAGACTTTCCCACATCAACAGACATGATTTTTTATTTTATTTTCAACATTAATGAACCCACCTTGAAAATAAAGCTTAAAATCAGGTTTATGTTTAAACTAGCAGCTGAATGCATGACCAGATATTTGACTCAGACCACGAGGGGTCTTTTCAAAGTCAGAACCAATGGCCGAGGGCAGGTTGGTGACATCAATTGACCAACTGCATTGGTCACTTCACACGCACAGGCAGACAGTCGGGGGGTAAAGCAGATAATATATGCCGGAAACGGAGCATAGATGTCTGACGGCTGTCGACACCTTCAGCTCTAAGCTCCCCGGCTGCAGGGACACATTTGATGTCTTGTTTTACGAGCTGGAGAGCCACAGGCCTTGCATTTCGATTCTCAGACAAATTAGAATTCTTGCTGTGCGCAGGAAATCATTACTCTATTGCATACAGATTTGTCTTAAATGCCTCTTTAGCCTCATTTGTTTCTATCCCAGCGAAGCCACTTGTTCTAACAGCAGGTGTTGTGCAGGTTTGTCAGCACATCAGTTGAATGCGACTATTATTAACGCCTTTCATTGCTTATTTCCAATGAGTGCAAGCCATTGAGACACTCAATATAGAGTGTCTTTGCTCATTGAAAATAAAAGCATCTATTGATTTTGTCCTCAAGCTCAAAAATTTCCCCCGAAGGACCTGAAATACTTCAAAACTGGAGGTTGGTGGCTAAGCACCTGGAATTGGAGCACAGGCCCCACATCTACAACAGAGGCTTTAGAGCTCAAGGCGACGTGGAGAAATCTTCAGAGGCCGGAGACGAGGCTTAGCTGAAGCCCCAGGTCACACTGCAGAAGCCCCACACCACCAACCCCCCCTAAGCAATTTCAACTTGTGCTCAGCTCAGCTTTAACTCCCCAGAACATGGCTCCAGCTGAGCTGCTCGTGTCTGAAGGTGAGACTGAGCACGGGAAGTCATCCGAGTTGGGTCAAAAATGAAATGGAGGTTGAAATGTGAGCACACGACAGTCCTGGCAATGCAGTAAATGTTATGTCATGTTTTAAATGTTCACCTAAATCAATCTTTCCATCAAAACAAAACCTTAAAAATAAGTATGCAGTAAGGCATACAGAGAACATTATGCTCCCCGACTCTGCTACATGACTGCAGAAATGACCTTTACTCAGGATTAGTACAGTGAACTGTATCTTTAGGCCATGGGTGAGCCATGCACGACACACTGTCCACATTATGCACTGCAGCTGCTGAGATTATCCTGCCCTACGGCGGAGCAATGCTTCTAATCACGCTGCATTTTAGTGGACTGCTATGTTATACTCACGAACCGTACGGTGAGACAAATGATTCAGTCCACCGTTAGACTGTTCTTCGTGCTTTTGTTTAATAACCCAGAGGAAAATGTAAGAAGAGGATGACTAGAGGGTGGCCCTAAGAGCTGAAAGCACTGCCATCGAAGTCGTACATCCAAGTGAACAAAACATCTTCACCGATTTGAGAACACGTCTGCAGCAGTTGGAGAAAATGCAGCAAAGCTTAAAAAAATTGGCAAATTGAGAAGCAAATTCACCAATTTAACAATATGGAGCATAACAATTAACAATGTAAACAGAATACAGCCAAATATAGACAACACTAGTGGAGGAAGGAGTATTCGGATCCTTTTCTAAGTAAAAGTAGTAGGATAATAGCGCAATGTAAAAATACTGTTGCATGTCAAAGTCCAGTATTCAAAATGTCTTAAATTAAGTATTAACTGAAAAATGTACTTGGTAGTGGCGGAGTCCGCCATTCCTGCACTGGATTTCAGATTCCCTAAGCATGAGGAATTCAAGTACTCATCCCACAGAACTGGCCTTTGTTGGTACTATATTATTATTATTATTATTATTATTATTATTATTATTGATGCATAAATGTGTAAGTAGCCCTTTAGTGTTTTAGCTGGTTGAGAGGGAGATCATTTTATACTTAATGTGTTGTATAATATTTAATACTGCATTATATTTCATAAGCTAATCATATGGTTTTTATATGAAATCTAGCTGACGAATAAACATCTCCATTTAAACTTTTACATTTTCTTTCACTGATTTTCTGGAAATTTGTTTAAAATGTGCACTGAATTTGGATGGAGACCTGGGAATGAAAGACCTGTGGGAAAATGAGCTGATGATTAAAGTTTACTTTTAACGTTTTGATTTAATGACGCAGATAATATTTCAGATATTAGCATTAGCGTTAATAGCCTGCTGGTTCAATTTCCTTTAGTTTCAGGTTTTCTGTAGTTGTGGTGTGTTGGGCTCTCAGGGCCACCGTAAAAAGTGATGACAACCCTCTGACTATCAGAAATCTATCACAGGAAATACTCAATGTTATTACAGGATGAATTATAGGCAAAAACAGTGTAATTAAATGCATTTCGGCTAAGCAAAACATAGGCTACTGTAAAATGTCATAGAGTATTACTGTAAATCTGTGCGGGAAACCTTCACTGAGCCACGACAATACTGCGATGAGATCTTGCAACATCAGCTCTTGTCTCAACATGTGACCCTAATCCCTGATGAAGGGCACCTGGAAAGCACAGAAACAAACGTCTTCCTTCATATAACATTTTGACAGTGATGGTCTTGTCAGATGTTGACGTAGCTGTACCTGTCCACCTCAGGCTAACTATTTATGACCATGCCTTTACCTCTCTGCCACTGTATATATCCCATCCAACCCATTTACATACTGTAAATCAGCGTCGCCCTCAATAATGCAACCACAAGTATGTATATAATAAAACGACTTGTACTTGTTGGACCAGATTTTGTGTGTTCAAGTTATGGTGGCCTCAAAGCCCCCTTGTGTACAGCTCCTTCCATGCCCTTGAAAAACAGGACATTCAAATCAACATAAAAACTCTCTTAATTGCTCGGGTGTCTAGATCCTTTCAATCCAGATCGCCAGCGTTATTTTAGGGAGAGCAGCAAGCTGGAATCTGGATGAGAATGACTTCACTTGATTTGACTTGTAAGATTAATGGGTGTTCACACCAGGACACCCCCCGTAATCGATACCCATGAATGAAAAATCTCAAAACCGTATAAGTATGTCAAGGACTGTGACCTAAAGCGTTGTAAACAAACACGAGGTCACGGCCTAGAGAGAGTGAGCGTGGTGACACTGATGCAGCGCTCTAAGCCAGGGGGATTCAACCTTTTGCAAGTGGCAAAGGCAGACATGATGAAGTCATGTTGACAGTGTGTAACCTACGGTCAGACATCTTTTTAACACGATTTTGCTTTTGCTTTTTTATTCTAATCCCAAGGCCAGCTTATCAAATACACCAGTTCAACAGCTCACACGGAGTTAAGGGGGAACATACCATTTAAAAATCTTTTCACAATAAAACAAGATGGAAAAGATTAGTATCTTCTTGTCTTCTTCAACAAAATATCATGTGATTTTGGAAATACAGATAAACCACAAAAAAAGACCAGGAATCATGTTTCCCATATTCATCTTATTAAAGCATGTTAGCGTGCTAATATTGGCTAATTAGCACTATAGACAAAGTACAGCTGAAGCTAATGAGAATGGCATTAGTTCTGCACGTATTTGGTTTTGAAGGATCAGGGCGGGGGATTTGGTGCCATCTAGTGGTGACGTTGCACATTGCAGCCAACTGAATACCACTCACCTTCCAAGCGTAAAGGAGCATTTATTGGCAGAAATGGAATATAATATTCAATATTTCATATTTAATATATCTCATAAGTTTTCATTAGAGTACAATCTTAAAATAAAAATTGTTGTGTTTTCGTTATCTTATAATAAGCTGGTTTTGTCTAAAGATGCCTTCCATGGAGCCTGCCACGTTGAACCGTCATGCAGTTTCACCTTTGTGCTTGGAACTGGAGGGTGAGGTGAGGGAGTTACATTTATTATTTACAATAATATTTTAATATGTCATTAATTATATGCATAGGAAGCAACAGCAACATTAGTAGCTGAAGCAAACCTAAGGTGTGAGTGCAGCATTTGACACTATTGATCACAGCTTCTTACAGGAGAGGATCAGGATGTGGGTTGGGGTATCTGGAGCCACATATGTCTGCTTTAACTGTGTCAACATCCCATTTAATATGCAGTGTGCCACATTATTCAATGACTTATACCTTTTACCTTGTGGTACACATCATTTTGGTTTATGTTGTCATCTCTGCTTCCTCCAGCTCCCTCTTTCCCTCCTTTTTCTCCTTCCTAAAAACCACAAACTGTCTTTAAAGGTGCTCTATACCGTTTATGGTGTGGTTTCCAAACAGGCTCCTGTATCACATCCACAGATCTTTTAGAGGAGTCCAATGCTTTGTCACTTTTATCTTCTGCACACACGTGGGGGCGTGGCTGGGGCGTGGCTTTGGCTCTGGCGTCATCTTACCAGGAAGAGTCGCCGCAGTTCGAGGAAAGCGGAGAAGCGAGGGAAGTCGGTGGTTGTAAATAAGTCTAAAAAACATCGCTGTAAGTACTAATAGAAGCTCAATTATGTAACGTAAGCTATTATTTTACCCAGATATGCCCGTGTGTGTGTGCCTGTGTCGTGTCTGTGTGTTGTGGAGAGTAACTTCATTCGGAGGTAAAGTTTCCACGAGTTCAGCCAAGGACAACAAGCAAGGTTGCTTCAGTCCGCTTCTGTGTTTGAAGAGAATGTCAATATGGATTTCTGTCTATTTAATGTTGTATCGCTAATCGTTCAGCTTTAATAAGTTCTACAACAATACGTGAAACTGTTTCTGAATGGTTGTGGTTTTCTGGTAAATTCGGCTTATGGCTGGGTGACTACTAAAGCAGAACTTTTATAAAATTGACGTTTTCACTCCTAATGTTAGTAACCGCACGATGACCGCATGTGGTCTATCTGATTTGACAGCTGCTCATGAGGTCTTTGATGAAGTTTTTCCTTAACGTTTTTTAAATGTGCGTGGTGTTTATATTATAGCATCTGCTTTTATGAGCCAGTTTGATGACTTACTGTCTTCAGGGTGTGTGAAATCCATTTATGTTATTGTTGGATGGCCCCTTATTGCTTTCACAGTGCTGTGTTACAGATCTAGGACATGTCAATTGAGACACAGAGATAATAGGGATCCTAGTTCTGTGTTCTAAAAAGAGCAGCTCGCTGTCCTTAAACTGCATGTTTTACATCTTTTAATACTATTAATTTAATTTCAGGTCCCATGCTGGATGAAGAAACAAGCCTCTAAGGTGTAGACCTAACAATCAGTGTCTGTAAGTAAATAACAACTTTTTTAAATTTCCTCTCTGTCTCTCGACTGAACCAATTCAGGTCGCGTGGATGTAATTAAACCAAGATAATGACCTTGTGTCCTGTCTATAGATTTGTCAGGGGATCATGCCTGATGAGATGGCGAGGCCTTTAATCCGAGAAAGAGGTGAAGGAAGAGGATCCAGACGTCTGGAAGCCTCCATGTCTGACCCCGGCGCTCCCGTTGTCGGCATTCTGGGTACGGGCGACTTCTCCCGCTCACTGGCACGAAGGCTGGTGGCCTCCGGCTACCAAGTGGTGGTGGGGAGTCGAACCCCCAAACGCTCCGCGGCTCTGTTCCCTGAAGAGGCCGAGGTGACACACACACAGTGACACTGACACCCACATTCACACTCACCATGTAATTGGTGTTTTTGTTTCACCCCCGATGGTGATAATTATATATTTACTCTGACTTGATACTTTAGGCATAATAACTGTTGTTATTATCCTGAAGAGAAAAGATAATCTTAGTTAAAGATGAGAGTCCGTTGTGGTATGGGAACTGGATAAAGCAGTTAATCACACATTTTTAATGTTTCCCCTTTACATCATATTTCAGTATCTGTATCAAGGATTCTTAGAAATATATGGGAGAATATCTGATATTGACGTCTTCATTACAGACATAAAATGTTCTTTTTAATTGACATTATAATGCACACATTTTTTTAGAAGATTGATACCACTCTCCTGTCTGCACACTAAATATGAAGGGAAGAGAGATTGTTAGCTTAGCTTGGCGTAAAGACTGGAAGCAGGTGGTAACAGCTAGCACATTTCTATGACTATATTATAATACTACATTATACTTAATTTTCCAATATTCTCTTTATGCTAAGCCAAGTCAGTGGTTCTCAAACCTTTTCTGTCCTGATCCCATTCAGTCATTAACAATATTTGGAAAACAACAAGTAAAAAACAAAGTTTAATTTAACTGGATTCAGGTTTCAGGTTAGAAAGACGGTTTAGCTTGGCACCGGATTTCTAGAGTGTGTTTGGGTCTGCCTGACTCTATGACCCCCCCCGACCCCCTCTCAGATTCAGCCTAAACTGCATATAATAACTTTAATGTCTTCCGATGTCCTTCTAACATACGTCGTTTCTGTCTTTGTCTTCCAGGTGACGTCCCAGATGGAGGCAGCGAGCCAGGCAGACCTGGTCTTTGTCGCCGTGTTCCCCGAGCACCACTCCACGCTGGTGGAGCTGAAGCCGGCACTAGCTGGAAAGACGCTGGTGGATGTCAGCAATGGTTTGAAAATCAGCCTAGAGGGGCCTTCGAATGCCGAACAGCTGGCGGACCTGTTTCCGGAGAGTTCTGTAGTCAAAGGGTTTAACACCATATCGGCCTGGGCGCTCCAGATGGGACCTCGGGATGGAAGCAGGCAGGTCGGAAACGTCAGCTGCCTCTTGTAGTTTAGATTGATGGAGCTCCGGCGATGCTTTGAACTCAGCTTCATTTTTTTGTGTCTTGTCTCCAGGTTTTCCTGTGCAGTGACAGTAGCACGGCCAAGAGCTCGGTGATACAGCTCTGTCGTCGGATGGGCTTCGTCCCGGTCGATATGGGCCTCCTCTCCTCTTCTCTGGAGGTCGAAAACCTCCCCCTGTATCTGTTTCCCTCCTGGCGCATCCCACTCCTCTGCACCCTGTCCCTGTTCGTCTTCTTCTACCTGTACAACTTCGTCCGTGACGTCCTGCTGCCCTGGATCACGGCGAGGAAGAGTGTTTTCTACAAAATGCCCATAGAGACAGTCAATGTCACTCTCCCCTCTGTGGCCTTGGTGATGCTCTCGTTGGTCTACCTGCCCGGTTTGTGTGCCGCTTTCCTCCAGCTGTGGTGGGGCACCAAGTACAATCGCTTCCCTAATTGGCTGGACCGCTGGCTGACCAGGAGGAAGCAGTTCGGGCTGTGTAGCTTCCTGTGTGCAGTTCTGCATGCCATTTACAGTCTGTGTCTCCCCCTGAGGAAGTCTGCCCGCTACAAACTGCTCAACATGGCTGCCAAACAGGTGAGACGAAGAAGAAACAGATCTTTACTTGGATTCAGTTTGTACAGGGTTAGTACTGCTTCCAGGAAATAGCCGCAGCCTTGAACACTGGATTTTGTTTTCACAGAGAGCTATACTTCTGGGTAGCACAGCAGAGTGAGAGCAGGTGTTTACCCCCGACTAGATTTTTTTTTTTGTCTCAAAAAAGCTCTTGCAGTTGCGGTGACAATATGACCAATTATGTGTCCACATACATGAAATCAGTGCGTTATTGTTCTGCTTTCATCAGTGTATTTTGTGCGTCAGCCAGACACCGTTGTATGTAAGTGGAATCAATGGAGGTGAAAATCTGCCCCGGACTCATCGTGGGTTCTGGTGTTTATTGTGTCCTGTCCAGGTGAAGGAGGGGGTGGACGACTCGTGGGTTGACGAGGAGGTGTGGAGGATGGAGCTGTACCTCTCGGCGGGCATCGTGGCCCTCGGGTTGCTCTCTCTGCTGGCTGTCACCTCGCTCCCCTCAGTGTCCAACACTGTCAACTGGAGGGAGTTCAGCTTCATACAGGTACAAACACACACACACACACACACACACACACACACACACACAGGCAGTGATGTGCTAATTAAATAAAGATAAAGTAGAATAAAAAGTTTGGCCCCAATGTCTCTTTTTTCCTGTGATTAGATACTGCCAAAAGCATGAGTTTGTCTTCTTTTGGATGCAGGATAGCAGACTAATGCAGAATGACGGACATCGACAGTCATGACGCATAAACGTACAGTCACACTTCTTACATACAGACAGACGCACTCTACAGTCTCCTACATGCTCACATGATCTCACACATACAAACACTGTGACTCCCAATGTGTTTGCACTTCAGCAGCTGCCCCAGATTCGGCGTTAAACTCGGGCTGTGACAAAGCCGTCAGGAGTGTTGTGACTCAGTGCGCAGTTCCTCCACTCCACTCCTCCTCTCCTCGACTCCCCCACCCCCACCGTGGCCTCCGTTCCTCCAGGACTCGCGGTCCGTCGCTGCTGCCTTTTCCCCTTTCATCTCTCCGTTAAACTAATCCGGTGGCCGTCAGATTAGTCATGTGCCGACAGCCGGCGCGATGAAAGGCAACTTTCTGCTCGGCACATTGAGACCCGCTGCCCGCTGCTGCAGGACAGTGTGTTAATGCACGTTGTGTATTATCTCTACCAGGACAAGGGTTCGGTGTTGTTCACTTAATGGAAGTGAGCCAACTCCATCTCCACCTGTGCTTTTCCTGACAAAATATCTGTTGTAAAATTCCCCAAATGTCTGTTGTAGTTCTCTACATACACCATAGGAATGCTACTGCCTCTGCTGTCAATATACTATTATTTAGTTCTTTTTTTCCTCCTCTGGGTAATAAAAACTAATTTGTCTTGTTGTGGGGAAATAATTATGATGCACTCTGTCCAGTTAGTGAGTGAATGAGGTAAAATAAGACTATTTTTAACCCCCGGTCCCCTACCCGAGTCAACCTTGGGAGGTTTTTCTAATTAGTGGGCCCCATAGCTACAGTATATGGCACACACCATACACATGCATACACTAGTGGGGTTCATTCAAGTTAAGCGTGGTAGGTCAGTGTGTTTCCTCAGGGTTTGTAGTAGCCTGTAACATAATGAGCTAATGTAGTGGACTCGTGTGAACTGAGGAGTCCCTTAAGGGAAACAATGTGGGTCTTTATATGTGGAGGACAGGATTATTGTCATGGTCTGTCTTCACTTCCAAATGCAACCTGTGACGCCCTTTTTCCACCCCCCTGCAGTCCACACTAGGTTACTGTGCCTTGTCCATGGCCACCCTCCACACGCTCCTCTACGGCTGGGGCCGCGCCTTTGATCCGACCCAGTACCGCTTCTTCCTGCCTCCCACCTTCGTACTGGTCCTGATCCTCCCCCTCACGGCTCTGCTGGGCCGCCTGGCCCTCTGCGTGCCGTGCGTGGCCGGGCGCCTCAGACAGATCCGCCGCGGCTGGGAGAAGAGCCGACACATCCGCTTCACCCTGCCGGACGACGGCTGCCGCAACGGGCTGGAGGATGTCAGCCATGTGTGAGAAACGCACTGCTGGGTGTGCGTGTGTGAAGATCCAGACTGAAGCTCTTTTATGTGTGCGCTCATGAATATAAACTCCAGTCAACCACACTCGCACAGAAGATAAATGATTTATACCCTCCTGGAATGTATTGATGGCTAATCTCTAAAGCCCGTTGAGAGATTTCAGAGATCTGTGAGTTTCTTTTCAACAAATTAGCTGGTAGTTCCTTATAGATATTCGACCAGTAGAGCTGTGGTCACCAACCTTATTGCACTATGCATGCACAAAAATGAGTATTTAGTTACTTTTTACTTTAAATTATTGTTCTGTGTTGTTACTCTACTTGAAGCTTCAACCCAGAACTGATTAATATTAGCTTCTGGTTTAATTTATGCAAAACTGTTACACTTCCAATGAACCTGCTCAGGACTTACTGAAGCAGTACAACATGGATTTTGTATAGCTGCAATAAGATGCTTCACTCTGATCATCTGAAGTAGACTCAACTGTCCTCTTGGCTTTTGCATTCCTTTTTATTTTTTTATTTTTCCTTCTGCCTTTAAGACTGCTGCACAGATTTGTGTCAGCCAGCCTTCAACATGGCCTCATCCTGTTTTGTCCGTATGCTAAATATTAAAACTAACATGTCTTCATGTTATTATTAATATTTGTTAATGAGGATTTTCATTAATGTAACATCAGGGTTGCATTTTGTTTTCACGTTTTATTTTGCAGTACTTTGACACTTTGATGTGCTGTCATATTAAAGGTTCAGTGTGTAACATGTACGAGGATCTATTGGCAGAAATGGAATTTAATATTCAGAACTATGTTTTCATTAGTGTATAATCACCTTAATATAAGAGTTATATTTTTGTTACCTTAGAATGAGCCGTTTATATCTGCCTTCCATAGAGTCCGCCATGTTTCTACAGTAACCCAGAAGGGACAAACCAAACACTAGATTGTTTGTGTTTTGAGATCACTGTAGTTTCTCCTTCGTGCCTGGGAGAGTGAAGCAAGTGAGTTGTGATCTGCAGCTACACCGCTAGATGTCACCAAATCTTACACACTGGACCTTTTAATGTCAAACTGTTAGGGACTGTATGAAAATTATTATTGTGGGAGGCGGATGAAAATTATTCTCGATTTAAAAAAACAAAACAAAACAAAAACAAAACAAAACAAAAACAAAACAAAAAACCAAGAGCTGCTAAACGCTAAACTACCAGTAAGCGCCTGTTTTAATCATAAGGGGAGTGTTAACAGTATAAATTAGTTAGCTCTAATCTATAAAGAGCCCTCTGTTATGATGCAGAATAAAAAAAGCAGCTATATAAACTCTCTTTGGCAGAGACCTGATTGTCTGTCCCTCAAATGTCTGATAAACAGACAATATCCTCCCCATTGCTGTCCACCCCTCTCCCCTAAGCATTTTTCTACAGTCCCTTAAACTCTCATTTGCCAACTGGAAACTGCTGCTTCAGTGGCTGCATTGTCTAGTACAGACAAGTAGTTACTGAATTTAAGAAAGCTACCATTCATGTGTTGTTTTTTTTACATGGATACTATACATTGTTCAGTTTTATTGTTGTACTCAACTAACCTGCTGGTAACTACCCATCAGTACTCATTTGACTTAAAAAAAATGGCTGTTACTCTTTTTTTAAAATTGTTTTCATTTATGATCAAGAACAACACAGTTTGCTGCTGACTTGTGATTTCAGCAATTTTTGTTTTATTATTACATAAGTTTGTATTTTCTCAGTTTTATGTGTTCTTGCCAAAGATGACTCTGTTACGTGATAGATTGTTTTCTGAATCTAAATTAAGATCATAGTAGTGTACTACCACAAAATCACGAATGTAAAGAGATCAAATTGTTAAAAAATAGAATAAAGCTTTTTTGTTTTTCACTATTGTATTTATGTCTTAAATAATGTGAAATAGATTAGTTTGTAGATATGAGCCTCATTGTCCAAATGTATTTATCAGCTTTAATTGAATCAAGGGCTGAAATAAAACTTAACTAACTTCTTTAATTAAACATTAGACTGATGTCCGTCTTTACAAAAACAAATGCAAGTTAAATCTAATCTCAGGCTGCCCTGAACTGTGCAGCAGCAGTGAACCCATCAGATCATTAAATATGTGGATGCTGCCATCTTGTGGTGCAGAATGGTTTCTCTCATGTCTCCCAAAGCTAAAAAAAAATAATAATAAGAGACATGGTTTTCATTCAGCTCTATCACAACAAAGTCAACAAGTCATATGAGACATTGGACTACAGCTGTGTTGCATAATAAAGGATTCAATCTGGTCACTTGTCCTGTAATTCTCAAAAACAGTTTTATTTCTTGTCAAATGTGTGAAAGAGGCTTTAAAGTTTTCCACTGCTGCAAGTGTAACTACAAACTGTCTTATCTGTCCACCGCTGTCCTTTGTTAGTGTGAGAAGTGTCACCCCTTTGTAGTCTTCAGACGGTGCTGAAACTACCTCCCACTTTATTTTCCTCAGCAAATCCCAACAATGACAAACTGCAGGACAAGTTGGACGAGCGGCGACTGAGAACTGGGGAGTGAGTCGAGTAGCAGCAAGGTGTGTCTGTTTCTCACTGCCGTCATGACTGTAAGTACTGCCTGCTTTGAATCTCAGCCTTTCCTACAATGTAACATAAAATGTATGGTACTGTTAACTCATTTCTCAGGTTGTGACAGAGCGGGAATCGCTCTGCTTAGCACAGCTCTGCTTACAGTTTTATGTGAATGTAAAGAGACGATAAGTCTGATTGTAGAACATGAACAGTCAAAATCAAGTTAGACTGGTTTTAAGAGTCGTTTCTTTTTTTTTTTTTTTAAACTAACAATTTAACTGAAATTTCTGTATCGGCTTGTATGTTCTCTCATCCAACCAGGACTCATTTGAAAAAGCAGTAGAGGAGGTGAAGGTACTGAAACAAAGACCAAACAATGGAGAAATTGGTCTACTGTATGGTTTATATAAGCAAGCCACAGTTGGTGATGTTAACATAGGTGAGTCACTGCAGTGAGGCCATTTTAAAAAAATGTTTTTAACTTTGTAGAATTCATGTGGAAACATTAAAAAAACACTCAAAAAGACAAGCTGTGTTTATATCAATCAGCAAAGACTTGGAGGACGTAGGGTGCGGTTGAGGAAAAATGAAGTTTGACAGGTTATGTCCATTTGTAAATGATGCCTAAAGTGATAAGTTTACATTTTTCTGAACAAAGATGGAAGAAACATTATTTGACTGTGTGCATATGACAAAAAGCATTATACTGACATAAATATCCAGAATGAGGATTTTAAAGTGCCTGAGAACTTTGTTCCAGATCTTCAGTATTTCTCAATATTTACACTTCTACTCCATTACATTTATTTCACTGCTTCCGTTACTAGTTAACAGATTAAAGCTCCACTGTAATCAGCTGCAACACTAAAATGCTGCTTACATATTAATGCATCATTTTAGTTTAGATTTTATCTAGTAAGTTATGGGTTAGATTAATAAGTCTTCAGATTCCCAGAGAATATATAAAGGACATGACCTCAGTGGCAGCTACAGCCACACTCCTAGGGACAGTTTTTCCACAGAGTACTTTTACTTTTGAGTATATTTGGCTAATAATATTTTATTAGCCAAATATCAGAACAGTTTCAATGCAGGGCTTTTACTTGTAATGGAGTATTTCTACAGTGTGGTGTTACAGTTTTTAAATATGAATTGAAATACTTCCTCCATCTCTGCTCATAGAAAGAAACTGATTGAGAAACAAAGTTTTCAGGGGCTTAAAAGCTCACATGTGACGTCTCACAAGATAAAAGTATGTTGCAGCTGTGTTATAAGACTTTTGTTATGTGGCTTGACCGTTTGTATATTTGTTGCGAAGCTGTTACTGATGGCTGCTTTTACATCCACAGACCGCCCAGGGATGTTTGACTTCGCAGGACGAGCAAAATGGGACGCATGGCACGCAAAAAAAGGTCAGAATATATAGAACTTACAAATAAATAAAACCATACATTTTGGTAAGTTGCATGAAAGACTATATGTAAACCATAAAACCGATACGTCTAAAAATTTAGTTTTTGGGAAGATTCACCTGAAACCACCTGAAGTGGGATTTAAAACATGTTTGTCTACTATTCCCAAAAGCAAATATCTGGGTGTTACCTTTAACTGAATGAATAGACGTTTTTCCTGAAAAAAAACCAACTGGTGTGTTTGTTTCCGTTTCTAAACCAACAGGTCTATCCAAAGAGGAAGCAATGGACACCTATGTTATTTTGGTGGAGAATCTGAAAGAAAAATGGGGATTCTAGAGTCTGTTTCTCTAGGTTAACATTTTGGGAAATGCACTTATTTGCTTTCTTGCCAAAAGCGTCTTTATATGTCTGTCTGCTAATTGTTTAGCTAGAGCCAGCAGGCGATTAGCTTAGCTTAGCAGTTAGAGTGGAAGCAGGGGGAAAGTGTTAGCCTGCCAAAAGGAAAACCAATCTGCCTGCTCTGACACAACCAGACTAGCTGTTGCTAAGCTAATTACTGGCTGGCTCTATTTTTTTTTTTAACATTTAGCTTACAGACACGTGAGTGGTATCTATCTTCTTGTCTAACTCTCGGCAACAAAGCCAATAAATGTGTTTCTGAAAATGTTTAAGTGGAAATACAATGTACAATTTCATATAAAAAGTTTCAACACATCTGTATACAGGGCTGCTATTAAAAATAAAGACTTTACAGTTCATTGGGCCTCATACTTCACTTGTTTCAACTTCTAAGGCCAAATATCCAACAAGTTATAAATATAAATAGTAGAAACAGCTGTCAGTATAACGAAATACAATTCAATAGTTCCTCCTCAGAGGGTTTTGGGGCTTTAACCACTCTAGAGACAAAAAGCCAGGACTGCATCAGTTTTGACCCAGTCCCCAAACTTCACAGTGCAATACTAAATAACTTTTTTGAGACATTACTACAAGTACTACAAACAAGTAAGCCTGGCAGCTTACTAACTGGGCCTCTACAGTACATTCTACATCATTATGTCATTGAATAAAAACTCCACAGATTAGAAAAATAGGCATTTGATGCTACCACTGTATTAAACACTCCACACTGCAGTTGTGGACTAATTGGCTGTCAGCACAAAGCCAGGTTCCCCTCTGTATCGACGAGGAGAGTGAGAAAACGAGTCAATCCCGACACGAATCAAATCTCCAGAGTATCCGCCGGGGGTCCGCTGGTTGTCTGGCTGCCTGGAGAGCAGGGCAGCAGGGAGACCTGCGTGTGAGGAGACCCGCTGTGGCTGATGGAGCCGTGATGCTGCCTGGGCCGACTGGGGAGGTGCTGAGTCAGCCTCCACCTCCTCCACCTCCTCTGAATTTCGTGCTGCACCTGGAAATGTGACACGTCATAGATGCCCAACTCGCTTTACACTCTAAAAACCATACGTTTGTGGCTCTAATTGGCTAACCGGTTCTCACCTCTCCGTTCATGAAGCAGTAGAGCACAGCGACCACAAAACCCTTAAGAGATGTGAAGAGAGAAAGGTTTTATTTGTCATTAATCTGAGTTGACTGGACGTTCTATCTCTCTCGTACATACAGCACATTTTACCTGTGTGGATGACAGAGCCAGTTCTGCAAAGGTCCATATCTTAAACACTGAGCTGCTGACTTCAACAGGTAAGAAAACAAACAGGATGTAATGCAGACCGAACAGAGCCACCAGAAAAAATGTGGATTTGATCAGCCTCCTGGTGAAAGAAAAACAAATTCTTCTCAATAATAAATAATAATATCTCAGTCTCTACTGGTATGCTTGAAATATTGATATGGAAGCCACCTTGCATATGGCTATAGTACCTATAATGTCCTTGCATTTGCATCCGTCCCTATGAAACTAACCTGCTTGTGTGTATACTTTAATCCAAATCAACAAAGCGAACAGGAACAGTCTTTATTCTCTTATCGTATGCAAAGCACATGGCCCATTCCTCAAAGACACTTTTTTACATATAAACCATAACTGGCTTTTAACTTTACATATCAAATATATAGTATGACAACAACAACAACAGCAACAGCAACAATACTACAGTGTGATCACTACTCACTTATACTGGCAGAATTCATTCCTCTGTGCATCCGACATCCTGAGTTTGCCCACCAGTATCCTCAAAATGCCCAAGAAAAAGATGAGATTCATCTGAAATGATTCAAACGTGAACACTATTGTTACATTTTGTAATCCAAACATTTCAACATTTTGGGGAAAAACACTTTCTTGCCAAGGGCTAGATGAGAAAATTGATACCCATCATGTACATGTGTGCTAAATATGAAGCTGCGGCCAATTAGCTTAGCTTAGCATAATGCCTGGAAATGGGGAAACAGCTTGCCTGGCTCGGTCCAAAGATAAAGGAATACATCTACCAGCACTTCTAAAGCTCAAAATTAGCATGTTATATCTTGTTTAATCCAAACAAAAGTGGAAAAAGTTGTGGCTTAAAGTGGTTTAGGCAGTGGATTATTTCCTGGCCAGGTGTAAAGACTTCCTGAAGTCACAGTAAAGTTGACTGGCAAGTCGGTGGTCATGGCCCAGAAATGATCTGTTTTAGAGCTTTAGAGTTATGGGAAAGTGGATCTGGACAGAGTCAGGCTAGCTGTTACCCATGGCAAGAAGGTCAATTAGTATGTTTCTAAAAAAAAGTACTTTTTTTAAAGAACATATTAAAGTAAAAGAGAAAAGTTTTTTACGGATATAGTTAGAAGAACTGGCACTCGGAGGATCCACCAAATCCATGCATGTGTCCTGGTTTCCCAACAGCTTTGGCAACGACATAAGAAATCATTTTAAAATCACACACTCTGATACTCTCGTAACTGCAAATGAATGAGTGAAACTGATTTTTAACCCCTTTCTTACCCTTCGTCTTCATAGAAATACTTGGCACACCCCCAGGAGATAATAACAATCAGTGGTACGCCTGTGTGATTAAATAAATCTTGGTTAAATCTAAGAAGGCACAGAGTCAGTGTTTGCTGTCCTGACCTGTAAATATGAGTACGAGTGCGAAGCAGAGAGAAAAACCAAAAGCAGACTTGATTTTTGTTATTTGTTGTCTACACGTCTACCTACCCCAGCTTAGGACGATGTACCAGGCGAGGTATTTCTTCAGGGAGAAGAAGGAGCGGCTGACCAGGGTGAAGAGGAAGTGACCCTCCACCAGCAGCCAGCTGTAGTTTGCCAGGATGGAGTAGTTGGAAAACATCAGCACAACCTTACATGCCACCTGCCGCACGGGAGAGAAGGCACTATGTCAGTGTTAAAAATAATAATAAAATAACACTGATCTTTATGCAATTAACCAGCACCATCTTGGACCAAAACAGGAGAATATACCCCTCATATATTGGGGTGTATGGTAAATATATTCCTTTATTTGTGACCCAAAAGACACTCCAGTGTCACTCCAATCTACATGTTTATGACCACATATGTGAAGCAGATTAAAGTGAAAAAAGAGTGTCCATCCATCCATACCGGGTAGTAGTCACAGTGGTAGAGCTCTTCATTACTAAACAGCAGAGAGTCTCTGATGAAGATGAAAATGGCTCTCAGGATGAAGGAGATAAACACCTGGATGTGAATGTGGTTCCTGGTACAGTGCAGCTTTCTGAAGAACATCAAACATTCACAGTTTAATGTATAATTCTTCAGTTCTCAGTGCAGGTTCAACCAACAGGAATTATACAAACCTCATTATAGCTAAATGAGAGAGAAAGGGGGTAATAATAAAGGTTTCCCACCTGAACAGACAGAATATGGTGATGGCGATGGTGAGAGAGATGAGAGAGAGTGTGTATCCAGCAGTGTACATGGTCTTCACGTAGGAGAAATACAAATGGGAATCTGAGGACTGAAAAAGACAGAGAAGATCACTTCACCTCCTCAAAATGATTTAACAACATCATTAAAACAGCCACTGTGGGGGGAAATAATAGTCACAGTCATATAAGATTCTTTAAATTGACAACTATTTATGCTTTATTTATTTATTGAAAAAAACGTCACACACTGTATGCATATTAGTTACCACCAACCTCTCCAAGAAAGTGCAGCGTCTCATTGAAAGTGTAGCTACATGCATCTTCATGTGGGATGAGCGCGTCCGACCAGCCACTGGCGGTGCAGTTGCGATACAGTTTGCCTGCAGAACAGCAATAAAATCCTACGTCTGTCAATGCTCTCTTTAGTGTGCATTTGAGTTAGACAGAAAACTAAATATATCCTGTAAATTAAGCCTTATTAGGACCTTGTTCCTGCTGGTCAGGTGTGTGTAAATCATGTGCTCACAACCTTGGATATATTGGACAGTAAAAAGATACTTTCCCTCTTCAGGTGCTTCAATAAACCTCCGGTCGGTTCTTCAAATACATTATTATGAAATCTATCATCTTCATCTGTCAACATAAACGTAGCACTCCAAAGTGTTACCTAGTGTCTCTATGTACACAAGCCTTTTATGGCTGAATGTTTGTATAGAGACCTCGAGAGGGAGAAGCTGCTCAGTTCCTTATGAAAACAAAGTAGCTTCCTGGCAAATAATTAACCAGTGCAATGTGGTATAGATAATGGGGGGTGGGGGGGGGGGGGGGCGCTGTTTGTAAATTGTAAATGTGTCTGTGAGTGCATGTGTTGTATCTCACCTTCTGAATTGAAAAACTCATGGTTTGGACACGGTTGAGAGACAGTTTCCCCGAGAGAAGCTGGTGGCCAGCAGTTCAGGTCATCCCACATTCCCTTACAGTGCACACTGATGTTGTTTTCTTAATGGATGGGACAGAAATGACATGTTTTATTTGCTGGGATTACATAATTTATAAAAAAGTTATTTACAAATAAAAAATGGCTAATCATGATGATTTAATGTTTTAATTTCATGATAAACACTGGAAGACATGTCTGGAGTAATCTTTTTTTTTTTTTTAAGTATTTTTGGGGCTTTTATTGCCTTTCTGATGGTGGCGGCTGGGGGCGGGCATGGGAGGGGGGGATGGCGCGCAGCGGGGGGCCGCGGGTCGGATTCGGGCCCTGGGCCGCTGCAGCGAGGACTCAGCCTCAGTACATGGGACACCAGCTCTACCGTCTGGATTAATCTTGATCCTTCAGTATAAAACGGTTTATGTCTACTGCAAGTGTCCAGGGTGCATTATGTTATGTTGCCACTAGGTGTCACTAGAGCATTGCATCACATTTTTATAGGTTTAAAAAAAGGCAAACATTTCATTCATCTCACAGATCACCAACATTTTTTCAACAGAAATATTCACTGAGCAGCAATCTTGATTTATTCAATACTTTTTTATAAGCATTACATACCACAATAGGTCTAAAATACACAATTAAGAAACAGTATTAACTCACCTGTTGCTTTGTGTGAAAGGTCTTTCATGCACTTCTCCTCCTCTTTCACAAGATTAACATGAGGGTGACACCCTGATGACCAGTGCGCCTGTAAACGAGGAGATAACAATGCTATTGTTCTTAACATATTTCACACATTCAAATTAAACATGCATGGTGTGTTTCTCACCTGGGGTAACAGTAGCACTCCAATAAGTCCAACTTTTCTCATTGTGTCAGACGGGCTCCTTTATTTCCATCCAGACAGGTGCGACACCCCGCATATCTGATGAGAATGAAAAGCAAGCATCCTGCCATGCAGCAGATATATGCGGTCTGAAAATCAAACGTAGGCCTACTCACTGTCAATAATTATGCACAATATCACTCAGGGCAATCTGATAAGCGCTCATCAAGTTAGCTGCTATACAACGTGAACATCCTGCAGTGGCATTCAAAATAAAGTTATGGCCACGCATAAATACATGCGTCACTGTCTTAACGGGAAGTATATTTAGTGGTAGAGCTGTAGAAAGTAACAAATCTTACTTCATAGGATGTGTTTTCACTTTTTATATCGAAACAAATTACACAAAGCAATACACACAGACCAGTATGTTTTTGGCCAGGGCTTTTATTTTGAAGGCGGAATGGCTAGCTTCCGGTATATTTCGGTTGATTTGACGCTCGCTGACAACAAATCGTATTCTCTGACAGCACGTTGGCCCCGCCCCTTCACACCACCCTTGTCACTATGGCAACGACAGTGTTTGATTGTGGGGTCCTCTCCATCAAGAGCAACATAAAGTGTCTAAACGGTACGAAAATACACGGAATATGTCTGTCTTATTTGAACAACTAAATGCAACCCCTTGTCTAGACCTCATGTAAGTTCTGTAGTTCCGTTTTTTAAATGGTTTTTACAGGAGAAGTTGATAAAACTGTTGCTAAGAAGCCTCTGTTGACGTTAACGCTAGTTAAATGAAGCTTGTAACGTTAGCTAACTATGAACTGCCTGTGTCGATTGAACCAGTGATAAGTCATTTGTATGTGGACTGTAACATTAAGTTACTATAGTTGTCTATTATATGGAGGGCTGAAATCACCAAAACCAAAAATAAATAAATGACCCAATAAAGAAACGAATACGCCACTGAATTAATGACAAATAATATTAACAGAAAGTATAGGCATTCATTCATTTATACATGTGATATTCATGATATTTCTATCTATCTTATCTTCTTCCCGTTTAATGTTTCATTGTATTTCTTTCTTTCTTATTCTTCTTTAAATGTTATTTATGTATGCCTGTATCAGTGTGTAATGTATCAGTGGGGAGAGGGTTGGCCAGCATGGGATGCATCATTTGTCACAATCAGATCATTTAATATGATAATATTTAACATTGTTTATAATAGGCTGCAGGACACACTGATACAGAAATAAATACATGAAAATTCACAACTGAAGTACAGTTCAGTATTGGCACAAATGGACCCCATAGATAACAATACCTGAATTTTTTGATAATGTTGGCTTACTTGCTTTTTCACGCGTCTAATAGACTTTTTCACAGCAGGCATTTTGACATGAAATAGTAGGGCAAACACAGATGTTACCAATGATACTAATGAATATATGCTGTATATTCACATATCTAAAATATATAATGCTATATAAAACTATGTTACTAATCCTTTTTTAAGGCAGGCTGCACAGATATTTCAGAGGTGGAGGAAATGTCATGCCCCTAGTGCATACTTTGCATGACCGGAAATAAAAACATATAAACAAATTTAACTACTCAAGTGATTTCACTGAATCAACAATAAAAATTGCACATGACAATAACCTGCTGTCCTTCCATGTCTTTCCTCCTGTATTCAGATTATACATTCATAGGTTTACGCTGCTGTCTCCTTGACTGTCCTCTCGCCTTCTGTCCATTTCTCTCATGAGGAGCCAGAGCTGACCTTTTGCCATCATGGAGGTGGCCCTCTCTGCCCAACAGATCGAACCCCTCAGGAGGGGGACTCCTCTGCCTCTGAGCCAGCTGGTGGAGGAGAGCAGGAGCAGCGCCAACATTCCCAATCATCTACTGGACTCCAGTACGTATTAAGCATGACCTCCGAAACCCTCTGATCGGGTGCATTAATGCGGTTTTCATGCTGCCGGAAATGATGATGAAGCACTTAACCCAATCTATGGCAGCAGATCCGGTTGTTCTAGTTGCGTTACAGTTTAAATCGCTGCTTATTTAAATTGGTTGAATCATCAGTGTTATTTTTTAACCATCAAAATGGCTGACATTCATATTTTTCATGTGCTATATGTGTGGAAATCCTCTTTGCAGGTGTGAAAAGCCCACATTCAAACAGTTTTCTGTTATGCAAAAAGCTTATTACATTTCAGTAATTGTTTTTTTCCCCTCTTTATAGAAATCTATGCCAAACTGAAAAGCAACAGCCTGATCCAAGCAGAGCCCCCAGTGCTTCACTTCAGTGGATTTGAGCTGGGGAAGGATTACATAAAGATCCTGGTGAGGAAAACACTGCACAAATTTAAATATCTTTGGAGTTTTTACTATTAATTTGTTAACTGTCCCATTCACAGGCTACACTACTGATTGCGGGCTATTTTGAAAAATATTTTTAATATTCTTTAGACCTTCAAGTGCTTGGTGTGAAATAAAAGTACATACAAACAATGATATGGTCCACACAGTGTAGCTAACATTGGCAGGCATATGTGTACCTTCCGCTGCACGCTGATTCACCTGCTGCTCTTTTAAAGGGAGATGTGGGTCACTTGTATCCATCTGAGGACAAAAACCACCTCCTTCGTCTCACTGACGCAGAGAGAGAGAGATAGTTGTCCCTGTACCAGGCTGATTTATCATAGTCATTAGCCAGTTATTGCACTGATGGGATTGTGGTCCAGTGTGGCAGGAATTTATGTGCATCATATCCACATGTTGGACTGTTGATGTATGTGAGGACAAAAGCCTGGTCCAGGGAGAGCTTGAAGTTGTCTGTGAAGCTACTAGTGCATAGTCAGCGCTTGCTGTTGGGTGGGGGCTGGCTGCACAGCTTGTTGTAGCTACTGAAGATTCAAAGTGTCCATGAACAAACATTTTCCAGGTGTCTGATGGGCCTGTCACAACATAAATCTTTGTAGACAGACTTTAGTGTGACTTCTTTGTCACCAGAGCTGAAAGCAGCATCCAGGGCTTTAAGCAGGGAGTAGACCTCTGTGTTAGAGTGAGTACACCATATCTTAATGTATTGGTTAAAGGGACAGTTTGATCCAAAATCCAAAACACATATTTTTCCTCTTATCTCTACTGCTATTTATCCATCCAGATTGTTTTGGTGCGAGTTGCTGAGTTTTGGAGATATTTGCTGTAGAGATGTCTGCCTTCCCTCCAGGACCCAGATGGCACTCGGCTTGTGGTGCTCAAAGCGGCAAAAAAAACCAAATATATATATTGAAAAACTCAACAGAAAGTCTCTTTCAAGAAATCCTGACCCGGGTATTCACAATAATGCAAACACCTTGTTGTGAGCACTTTTGTGTACAAACTTTTGCACTGTCACAAGCACGAACCTCTCATCCACGAGTGGATGCACGCAACATAGTACCTGCATGAAACTGCTCACAACAAGGCCATGTAGTGTTAAATTGTCCAGAGCCAGCAGCATCCACTTCCATTATTTAGGAAAGAATGAAGGACATCTCTATGGCCAATGCCTCCAAAACAATCTAGATGGATAAATAGACTTGCAGGTAAGAGGGAAAATATGTAACTGTCCCTTTAAGGAATTCCCCTGTGTAGTGAAGGCTAGCCCCAACCTCAGATAACTTTAGGTTTCCAGCACCATCAGTTTGTATTTAAAACATTGCAGCAAAGTATTAAAATAACTGTAATAATCCTATCCCATCATAAATTCCTCTCATTTGGTTTCCACCGAGGATAAATTTGATTTAATTGAATGGGCACTGATTTTACACTCTATTTGCGAGCGGAAGCACTGTAGACTGGATGTAAGCATCAAGAATATGGAAATAGTCTTCTCAAGTGCACATGATTGGATGGAAATGAATTATTCTTTTCTTTCCTCTTCCTCTCCCTCAGAAACTAATCAACATCTCATCTGAAGTAATGAATATTCATATCATTCCTACCCAAACCAAGCACTTCCAAACATCTTATACCAAAAAGGTATTTTTTCCCCCCTTCATTTACAAATTGCTGACCTGAATATAATAATATGACTCCACTTGTCCATTAGTGCAATCAGAAACGACTTCTGATGATTCAACCTTGTCCCATCTGTTTTCTCTCAAGTATCGACTCATCCCAGGCCTCGCCTACACGCTGAAGGTCAGGTTCTATCCCGACGAGTGGCGTTACTTCTACGACTGCGTTCGGGTTCACTGCAAGGTCAGGATCCAGCGGTTTGTACGCCACCGTGGTCGCTGCTGCTGCTGCTGCTGCATCGTGCAAATACTGTTCTTGTTTTACTCTTAAATCTTTAGACCTTAGGCATTTAGTGGAAGCTGGATGACTTTTCATTGGCATTAACAAGTACTGGAAAGACACAACTATCCACTAAAGCTAGCTCAAACAGTCAGACAACCAATAGGAACAATTCCTACAGTAGCTGCTTTAACTTATCTCTTTTGATCTTGCATTTACTTTGAGACCTCCCTTGTCTCCGTTTTTCTCATTCACTCTCTCCATATCCACTCTATCGTGTTCCTCTCTTTCTTGTTCATTCAACCCAACTGCAACATTTCCAAGGGGGAAGAGAACCTGTTAATTCCAGTTCATGCTTACCCTGTCATCGATGACCTGCACATCCCTCCTCATATCGACCTCTCAGCCGTACCACTTGGACAAAGGTGTGTGCGTATGCCATACAGTATGTGTGTTGGAGTCTTCAGCGGACTGTTTTTTGACCTCCTATCTGCCTGAGGGCTTGCCTGTCTCTTTGTATTCTTCCATACAACCAACCATGCTTCCTTTCACCCGTTGGTGTCAAATCATAAAAAGAAATGATTTCATCTGGGGTTTTTTTTTTTCTTCCCATCTGTCTCTAGTGTTTGCCATGCTATTCCTCTGAGATGCAGCTGCCCCATTGACTTTGAGTTTCAGGTGTACGTTATTCAGCCACACAAGGCCTTCTCCATCTATCCCCTCACAGGTATGGACTAGTTTAATCATTTAATTTAACATAAAAAATCTTATTGAGAACTTGCCTTTTCATTGCAGTGCACATTACACATTATTTCTACAGTGCATTTA